ATTTACGAACTGAGTTGCAAAAAGGCAATATTCGCGGACTGAGCATGTTTTTTGCACTTACATTTGACTTGAGTCTTTCATTAATCGTTTTTGCTCTTAAATCATCATAAGAGTTTTTATCCAGCAATATGGTCTACTTTCGCAGAGGGTAGTTTTGGCACATTAGAAAAAAATTTGGTTTTTGTGCAGTGTTATGGCAAACATCGGTCAAAAAGGAGTAAATTTACTGTCAATGATTTTAAATTTTACAAACATTAGCCTGACAATGTGTCATATATCTTTTTTAGGGGATTTCCAGAATCACGACTTTTGGGAACGGAATTTTTGGAACTGAGATGACTATATATGCTAACACAGCTAAAAATAGCTCAGATTTTTGTGCTGGGGTGTAGGATTGTATGTCCGAATTCAGGCATCTGTTGTAATTCGATAATAAGGAAAACAAGTTTAAAATTGTGCTGTTTGCGTCGTTGAATACTAAGAATATCATAATTGCTCGGGCATTTGGTGTGAGTTCCCATACTAGTGATATTAATAGCCGAGGCGCAAATGTTCCAGGCTCTTCACTTCTGACCACACTTCATGCGGTACAGGATGATGGACCATGCGTTACAGGATGGCGTTATTATATCACAACTACTGCGACATGCGCGCATTTCCAACCTTTTAGAGGGGTTTCTTGACTGGGCTAGACGCCTTATAAACATTTATAGACAAGAAAAGGTTGATATTGCTAGAGTGGAACGCTGTGTTTTAAGATTTTGCTTCAGAAACCGATCAGTACTGAGCAAATTCATTTGCCCTGATGACCGAAGAATTAAAAACCTAGTTAGTGCGATATTCTCATGAAAGCTGTTTCCTCATAACTTCATAGAATTACTGTCCCTATCATGTTAGTTTCCTCCTCTCCCACCTTCTCTACCACTCCTATTCCTTTCATGATATTACATTTTTCCCCTCACTCTCTCTCTCTCTCTTTTCCTTTCACTCATCCTTCTAGCAAATTAGTTACATGTCCTTTCAATAAATGGCTGGTAGGAGGCTGTACTGACGATTCCCACTCCTACCCGCATGCATAGGTGTTTGCAGCTAAGGGATAAAACACAGACTGCATCGAAAAATATCACTCTACTACATATAAAGGATAAAGGCAGTTTGCACCATAAAATATCATCTTGCACACGATCTCTGCCTGCGTACAGTCCTGTTGGTCTATTATTTCCATTCAGTACTTTTTATGCGTTTTTGCATATGTGCAAATTGCAAAAAACACACATTGGCAAGAGGCTCTGTGTGTTAGTGTGTATGTTCGCACTTTTTGTCACCCACTTTCAACTCGAGAACCAGAAAAGTTAGAAACTTTGGGAATATGTGCCCATATCATGCGTCCATTTTGATTTCATCCCCCGCAGATGCCTGGGTGTCGCGTATGGACGCTTTAAAAAAATGTGCAAATTTTTTGGCGGGAAAGCGGTCTCGGGAACAACACGAGGTAAGAGGCTGAAACTTTATAGGCATATTCACTTTTCATGTGCCAGCTAAAGATTTCAAATTCAGCCCCCAGGTGTGCGTGGGACTCACGTAAGGGCGTATGAAAGTTTTAACATGAAAATTGCTAGCTCGCGAACCAGAAAGGCTAGAAAGCTGATATTTGGGAGAATGTTCCTTATCCAATCACAGCTCAGATATTTCAAATTCAGCTCCAAGCTATGCTTGATACTCATGTAAGGGCGTATGAAAGTTTCTGCGGGAAAATTACTAACTCGACAACCAAAAAAGCTGGAAGGCTGAAATTTTAGGGGAATATTCCTTGTACACGTGCAATTTAAAAGTCTCAAATTCAGGTTTCCAGGCACATGGAGTACACACGTAAGGGCACGTAAAAGTTTTGGCAGAAAAATTGCTAACTCGGTAATCAGAAAAGATGGAAGGCTGAAATTTTGGGGGAATGTTTCCTGTCCAAGTACAACTTAAGTATTTCAAATTCAGCCTTGAGGCGTGTGTGATTCTTACGTACGAGCACTTAAAATTTTGGCTGAATTTCTGACTCAGTTACTTAGGCTACTTTTAAAGAGTGATCGTTAAATGGAAATTGTACATTTATTTTATGCAAAATTTACGGTGATTTATGCTAGTGACCGCAAAAGGTAGGTGTAAAACAACAATCATTCATGTAGTTAATGATCTGAATACTTTATGTCCGGTGCAAAAACGCTTGATCGCACGGGCCTGTCCATTACGTTCCAGCCTGTGATATTCTTCATCCTTCGTTGATGAGTTCAGTAGGAATTAGTGTGGAAGCAATTCGAGCTTCATGATCCAAAAGTATTTTGTCAGGCGGCAAAACTCGGGCGGCTGTTAATAACACGGAATTTTGCTTTAAGTTACGTACTTCTGGTTGTTTTAACTTGAACGCAAATCTGTCCGTCAAATTTTTTGTGGCGATTTTTGAATCGCTCACTGGTTTCTTCAACTAAAAAAAACCTAGTTGGCCTTCACTTTGAGACTCGGAAAAGTCACTGCAAAAATTTTTATGTTCTATCTGCTGGGGAAAAATTCACTGTTTTAGCTTATTTATCGTTATTTTTCTTCAGCCTCATTTTCCGTACATTGACGTGAAGCGGGAGCAAGTGTACTTAGTGAATCGGAGTGATGACGACAGAGCAGATGAAAATTGGCCCCTGTTTTCTGTGCACATTTTGGATGATAACTTGTTGGACTTAACTGAGTAGCGTCTCGACTCTGTCGATGCTTTTCGGCCATTGCTCAAACAAAGTTTGGTTTATTATTCTCCTTCAAAGCACGGGTTTTCCAGCTTTTACTGTAGCGTCATACTCATTATGGGCTTAAGCAGCTGCTCACTTATTTTCACTATTTTCATCGCGGACACGCACTTCGCGGACATGCACTCCTTGGCCAGTTGCTGCGTTTTTTCCAGCGCCTAGATAACAGTATTACCTCAGTTGTCAGTTATAGTGTTTTTGCAGAATGTGGGCGATTTCATACTGTCACAAATTTCAAGCAATGTTTCGTGCAGTGATAACAGCGTTATATGATACGGAAGTGGAAGTGCACTACATTGATTGTGGCAATTGTGAGACCGTTGAGTACAGTGATCTTCGTTCCATGGACAGGCTGGTTCGTTTTTTTGCGCTTCTGCTGTGCAAGACTATAGCTACAGTCAGCAAAAACGCATGTTGTCGAGAGGTTGTCTGGGTGTGTGCGTTCAAAAGTGAGTGCATTTTGTCACCCACTTTCATCTCAGCAACCAGGAAATTGGGAGGCTTAAATTTTGGGTACATGTTCCTACCTTGTGTGTCACCTTCCCCCACACGCGGCTAGACCCCGCGTATGGGCCCCCCAAAAAATATGCAGATTTCTTTGGCGGGAAGCGACTTCGCGAACCAGGTAAGGTAAAAAGCTGAAACTTTGCAAGAATATTCCCTATACACGTGCGAGCTAAAGAAATTCAGCTGTCGAGCACGCTTGTGAAGCGCGTATGACTACGTCAGATTTTGCAACTTGATACTGTGCTAATTCGAAAATTTGTTGGAAAACAGTGGCTGAAATTTTGTCGGCATGTTTGTTGCCAATGTAAGAAACAATATATCTAAAATGAATACCGATTTGCACTTGCGCTACGACTTAAGGCACTTCAAATGTATTTGTAGCGAAGTGGATATTTCGCTTACCGGATAAACTGCGAGACTGAAAATTCGGTGGGATATTCTACTTTCAAGTGCGGTTTTAGATCTGCTTGGAGGTGAAATTCGCTGCAATTGGGCATGAGAAATACTCAACTTTACCGGAAAATTAGAAATGAGTACGTTTTGCAGCGAACGATCGCCCTCATCCAAATATGTAAATGAACATTCAGTTCATTTGCATGCTTGGATTTTTTGACAAGCGATCGCTCGAGCAACACTTCCACTTTTTAGTGAACTGGAAATTTGCATTTTTCATTTTTTCAAAAAACGTGCATTTGCGGAAAAAAACGTGCATTTGGCCGGACTCCATGCAAATAACTGGTAATCGTGTACCTGGATGTTCGTGCTACTCTATAATGCACCACCTTCATTTTAGCCGGCCCCCTTTTGCATGCTGGATGGGGCCAAAGCATGACCAATACGAGCCCAAGCATTAGGCTACAGTGTAGGAATCATTCCTGTTATTAGCGACCTGCAAGTTTAGTGCAAAAACGCATGGTCGCATCGGCAAGCCTGGTGCTTTCCAGCCTGGGTCAGATATTCAGTACAGGTGCGCTACTTCTTTAAAGGCTGCTCGAGTGTTTTCTTACGTTCTTGTGACTGCTACTCACGAGACGTGACGTCTACGGATTGTTAACAAAGCGTGGAGTGCCGTTTTGTTTTCCTGAGTGGTCGCAGTGATATACATCAGTCAACCGGCGGAGAGTCTGATCGCTTACATGCTCACTACACAACACTCATTCTTTGCATCCTTCGCTTGATTGTTTTCTCTGTTACCGTCAGCATTCTTCCTTCCATTCTCGCTGGTGACCACGTTTCGTACTCGCGCATTATTATCACTAGTGCAGTGATGCCGGAGAAACTAGAGTTTTTCCGGTTAAAGGATTTAAAGGTATCGGCGGCGCACGCCTTGTTCTTCATGCAGTTCCCTTCTGATGACTGTGATGTACATTTCCTGGCGAAGATGTAACTCTCAAATTGTTTCGACACCGTTTGTGTGGAGTCTGACTGCGGGCACACTGGCATTTCGCCTCAGCTTTTCTTTCAGTGCGCTCATTTTTATGCCCGCTTCTTTGCTTTTTATGCGTTTTTGCCGTGCAGCGCTAGAGCA